GGGCCTTGGCCACACCTCCCTGGCTCCCGCCACGCCTTCTGGGCTCTGGTCACGCCTCCAGGGCCCCTGATTAGCCAGGCTTCACAGATGGCCACGCCTCTTGGGCCTTGGCCACACCTCCCTGGCTCCCACCACGCCTTCTGGGCTCTGGTCACGCCTCCAGGGCCCCTGATTAGCCGGGCTTCACAGATGGCCACGCCTCCTGGGCCTTGGCCACACCTCCCTGGCTCCTGACACGCCTTCCAGGCTCTGGCCACACCTCCTGAGCCTCGGCCACGCCTCCAGGGCCCGATCCCGCCCCCCGGGGCCCACGGGCAGAACTCACTGCGGATGCAGCTTGTAGAGGGTCCCGTCCACCCCCACAGACACGGCCAGCTCGTCCAGGCCCCGGTTCTCCCGGATCTTCTCCACCACAGCAGCCACCCCCGCCCCGCAGAGTTGGGCAGCCCTGCGGGACACCGCCTGGCACACCTCCAGGACCATCAGAGCATCGTCAGACGTTAGGGGCAGGCCCAGGGCCTCCAGGATGGCTCGGACCTGCCGCAGGGCCAGGCTGTCGCTGCGGGCCAGGAAGGAAGAGAATACAGAGGTGTGGGTCCGGGCATGCGCTCACTTCCTCTCCACACATCTAGTTCTGTTTTGCTTTGTTGGGGCCAGCACTGGAACTTGAACCCAGGGCCCGGGGTCTGTCCTTTTGTGTTTTTTTTCACTCAAGGCTAGCGCTCTACCACTTGAGCCACAGCTCCACTTCTGGCTTTTTCGTGGGAGATCAGAGTCTCACAGACTTTTCCTGCTGGGGCTGGCTTTGAACCGCCATCCTAGGATCCTAGCCTCCTGAGTAGCTAGGATGACAGGGTGATCTACCCCCCCCATTTACCTTCCAGAATGGGTACCCCCCCCTCCATCTACAGGCCTCATACAGCGGACAGATGGACTCCTTTTCAGTGAAGCCTTGGGGTACCTTTCGATCTCAGACAGAAACTTGGTCTTGAAGATGTCTCTGGTCTGAAGGCGCTGGGTCACCTGACCCCGGAAGAGAACTCCGAGGCTGGTCAAATGCAAGAGAATATGGCGGACGATCTCTCCTAGGTACATCCCGCTGATCATCTTCTCAAACCTGTATGGGTGCCTATGAGTCTCGACACAAGTCAGGTCCCCAGTGCCCACCACCCCTGCCCGGCTCCCCCAAACACCTCTGCTTGCCGGGATTGATGGATGCCTGGTCCACGCTCTCGTCAAAACAAGTGCCAAGCGTGCCCAGTGAACCGTCGTCCCCAAAGGCACCCCACTCCATATTGATACACATGCGGCCTTGATCCCCAGGCACGCCTGGAACGTTCTGGAGCTCTTCCATATAGCAAGCATTTGTTCCCGTCCCTACAGAAAGGCCAGATGGGGTGGAGGCCATTTGCTGATGCAGACAACGCCCTCTCCCAAGCGCTTCCCCCACCAGAATGATAAAAACCCCGCCTCTGTTGCCAGGCACCGGTGGCTCACGCCTGTCATCCTAGTTACTCAGGAGGCTGAGATCTGAGGATCGAAGTTCAAAGCCAGCCTAGGCGGGGAAAGTCCATGAGACTCTTATCCCTGATTAACCACCAAAAAGGCAGAAGTGGAGCTGTGGCCCAAGTGGTAAAGCACCGGCTTTGACTGAAAAGTTAAGGCCCTGAGTCCAAGAGCTAGTACTAGCCCCAGAAAGAAAAGAAAAACTCACAATAAAATGTATTTTCTCCTTTCCCCTGTACATAGCTCTTCTTGGCAGGCTGCCCACCCCCACCCATACCACCTGAAATTCCTCCATCCTATAGTTTATCTACACACCTACCTATGCCAGGCCCTAGGTTCAAGAAATTCTTGTCCCTGGAAGGCTGCCATGTACCTAGACCACTAAACTCAGGTTTGAGATGTGTAGAAGCCTTATTTAGTCTCGCTAAACCCTGTCCTTCAGGGCTTCTGTTTCAAATTTTGGCCTACATGTGGAGTCAAAGTCAGTTCTGTCTCTCTGTCATTCTGTCATTCTGTCTCTGTCTGTCTGTCTCTGTCTCTGTCTCTGTCTCTCTCTCTGTCTGTCTGTCTCTGTCTCTCTCTCTCTCTCTCTCTCTCTCTCTGTTAACTCTACCTCTTGGAGCCTCAGCTCCACTTCTGCTCTTTGCTGGTTAACTGGTTATAAGGATCTCACAGTTTTGTCTGCCCAGCCTGGCTTCAAACCTCAGTCCTCAGATTTCAGCCTCCTAAAGAGCTAGGATGACAGGCGTGAACACCAGCACCCAGCTCAGACTCAGCTCCCTTAAGGGCCGCCCCCCTCCTCTCCCTCCCCTTATCCCCAAGATCCATCCAGCCCCTCCCCTTCTCTCTTGTGCCTTCCTGTCCCTTCCTCCAGCTGCCAGCTGGCCCCAGAGTACAGGCTTAATAAAGACTTCGAATCTTAGACTGGCTGAAGGACCCTCAAATGGCATTGCTCCACCCCCAATTTCAAACCCTGTGATGCGCCAGCAGCCTGGCACCACGCCTTGCTTTGTCCACCCTGCCCTAGGGACCCGGGGACAGGCATGGCTACTCCTTGTATCTAAGATGGGGAAGTTGAGGCTCTCGTGATTTGCCACGTAGGTAAAAACAACCAAGCTAGCATTACCCTGGGATTCCACCACAGAGATGCATTCACCAGATGGGTAAACTGAGGCTCAGAAAGACTCCATGGCTGTGAGTCGGTAGCTGAGCTAGACGAAGCTCTCCCCCCCCCCCCCCCCCCCCCCC